TAATTTCTGGTTTCTTGTAATGACAGTCCCTGGGAAGTGAAGGAAAACAATCTTGATGAGGGGAGACACGGGTACTATCAGGACTAATGACTGGAATTACTTTGGGGATCAGGAGACTGGCTGGGGTTTTTGCAATGGAAGTGGGCAACTGGGGGAGGGCTGGAGAAGCATTTGCACCACACGAATATGTTTAAGTGCAGAGCACAAAGCGCAGGCAGATAAATAGCAGTGTCCTCCCAGCAGTGCAGACCTTACTATAGCACTGACCATAACACTTCCCGGAGAAGTTAGATCAATACTCAAGTATTTAGCCCACACCAGACTGCTAGCACTACTCAGTTAATTTAAAGCCATGCTATGCTTGTAGTCAAAGCTCAGACTATACAGAAGTACTGAGTTTCCTTGGTTTTGCTACCACGTACCAACAGGTCCTCTTTCCCTGGTCAGCAGCAGTTCGCATGAAGTTATGGTCAAAAAAGGGACACGTGAACACAATTATCTGCATATCACATTATCCTTCTGCCTGCAAAGCAGTTTATTAAGCACAAAGTACTTGGTTCAACATGCTTTCTAATTTCGTGGGTTTGGATCAGGCTCTGTATCCCTCAGGACTGGTCAAAGGCTTTAGAGAAGAAATGCTCTGAGATACCCTATATACATATGAAAATGCACTCTTCCTATAGGGGATAGAATGGTAGCCTAAACCTAGACACAATTTTTCCTACCTGTATTAGAATGAAACCAACAGACACTAGATGAGGGCAGCATGTTACCTGGCTAGACATGAGGATACAAAGCTGCAGCACTGGGTCTGACACAGCCTGTCTAGCTCTACAGCCTGTCTCCAACACAGGTCTGGGGTGAGTCAGAAGCAGGCACACAGATGTAAGAACACCCCAGCAGATGACTGCCTGAAAATCTGCCTACACCCTTCCACCAGGCAAAAGCTGGTTCAAAGTCTAAAGCACAAGTTTTAACAACCCTTCTATATACAGCCATGGCAATTCAACTAAAATCACGTTCTAGCCTGATTGAAGAGTTTACAATTTCTCCGAGTTGTTACAAACAACAAACCATGGTATAAAGTTGCATAACAAGTGAAAATTACACGATTAAAAAAAATAAAAACAAACCACCACCACACACAAACCCCTACTGAAGTCAATGACAAAAAATAGAAAACCGAAGGTCTGGAGAAAAGAAGACAGATTTCTGTCAGAAACTCAACCAGTGACCACCAACCCCAAAATATAATTAAGATATATTATTCCTTTGTAGTCCCCAATCAGAAAAACCAAGCCTCACTGAAAGTCAGCCTACTTTTCCTACCCTAAAATTAAACACAATACTTAAATGATGGCTTCAAAACTAATCCAATTCAGCTAAAACTTGACCAATTAAGCATTAACACATGAACGCCAATGTCAAGGCCATCAGCTTTCAATTAATAGTTCAGCTGCTACCAGGGGAGTGGACAGGCAAACATTAAGTGCTGCAGCCAGGTAACTGCACCAGGATTCCCACAAGCAGAGAGAATTGCCATTAATCAAAAACACAGCAATAGCCAAATTGCCTTGTTTCATTAGACGCAATTGTTTTACCAAAAGCCATTATGTTTACAAAGAATGAATACAAGATCCCCCTCCCCATCACTGAACACAAAATATATTAAGGAGAGAACAGTATTTGAGGGGTGGCAGTAGGTAAAGGCAAGGATCTGGAATTCTTAAGAACATTTAAAACTCACAGCTTTCTGTTCCAATTCTAGGCTCTGGAAAAACAAAGTAACTGTGGAAAAGGCAAAGGGTTAATACTCTGTTTCATGTAATCATGTATGTGTCTTAATGATCATTTATCGTAAAATATTAAATGCATTTCATATACAAAATAAATACAAATATACTAAAATAATACAAAATTTTTGAAATACAACCCACTACAACGTAAACACAAAAAATGCCAACTTATAACCTGTCATTTCCCTTCCTGATGAAATGGAGAACTAAAAAAGCATTTTGTAAATCCACTAAGTTTTTTACCTATTCCATCATCAGGTTAGAACAAACAGAAAACTGCCACAAGTTTCCCACACTGCCGTGAAACAGTTCTCCAAAAACAACATTCAAAACCTCCTGTGCTACCCACAGAAGACACATTCTGTGTCAAAGAGGAGGAAGTGAGCTCAAACAAAACATATAAACAAAACCTTTTTATGTCTCAGCAAATTAAACGTTACCCTGAGCATATCTTAGTCAAAGAACCAGAAAACTAAAACATTACTATCTACACTTTAATATTATGCTTCTCTGTACAGTATCTAAGCAAGACTGGCCATCCTTGCAGTGTTTGAAAACATGGGGAACTATCAAGTGCGACAGCTTATTTATCATATGGTTGTAACATTGAGCGCATTCATCCTTGGCTATTTTGCCAAGTACCTGATCTGTGAAGGCTCAGACTGGACTGTGTGCGTGCTCTCATGGCAGAGTTTACATTCATTACCTGCCATCGCATACCGCAATGCTGGTAAGAAACCAATTTGACAATACGTCAACACTTTCTCCACAGGAAACACCTTGACCAGCTTACAGGAACAAACTGTTCTGGAGAACACTTGAGTACTTTTATTTTCTGAACTCCTTTTGCCTTCTGTGGCAAAGGAAGGACTTGCATAGCTTTCACTTTGCTGTACGACCCTGATTTTGAGCAGAAGCGGGGCAGAGTTCCTCATTAAGAGAAGTAACTTGGGTCCTTGCCACCACGGAAGCATTTCCCACCCCAGGTATACTACCACCGTACTAAATTAGTGCCTCAGACATGCTAAAATGCAAAGAGACAACAACTGAAGCAAAGGGCTGTACCGAAGGCTGGCGCTTATCCAGAGTTCCTCAGTTCTCATAGCATTTCTGGGAGAATAACCTACTAAACCTCAGAGTGCCTTTGGGAGCATAACTCAGAGAAGGTGAGTTTCTGAGCGCCACTTCCAAAGCAAGAGTAAAGCAGCTGTACTCAGCCGCCCTCGTTAGGGAAACCCTGCAAGCGCTCCCCATGAGGGAGCCCCTTCACCCCATTTCCCCGAAACTACCCCCCAGGCACTCGCAGCTCCTTCCCCCCGTCCCGCTGCCAGCCCCAGCCTGAGCAGCCCCCCCCCAAAACCACAGAGGTTCCCCCACCTCCACAACCCTCAGTGGCCACCTCACTGCCTCACAGCCCCCACATTTAACCGCCCGCCATTACCACACGCACCCTCCCTACTCTGTCAGCACCCTCACCGCCCCACGCCGCCCCCCCCCCCCCACCCCTCAACCTGGCAGCCGCCGTCACAGCCCCAGCCGCACCCCCACGCCCCGGCAGCCCCCCCAAAAACACTCAGCAGCTCCCCAAACCCCTCACCTCCTCCGTCGGCAGCCTGGTCCCGGGGAGGCGGCGGGGCCGGGCCGCGGCTCAGCCCCGAGCCCTGCGCGGCGGCGGCGGCGCCGCTATGGCAACACCGAGACACCGACCAGAGCGGCGGCCACGCAGCCGCGAGCTCGGCCGCAGCCAGCGGCCCGCCCCTGGCGGCGCGGCGGCTCCACCGGCGCCGTCAGCGGGCCGAGAGGGCAGCACCGCCCGGGGGGAGCGGCGGCGGCGGGGCCGCGGGTTCGAGCCCCGGTCCGGGCAGCGGGGAGAGGGGTGCGGAGGGGGGGTCCCATGTGCTTCGGAGGAGTTTCTGCTGTGCGCGGGGGGGGCAGAGCGGCATTCCCGGGAAGCGTCCATATACGTATATATACGCCCACAGATACATACATACACACAGCCATATAGACAGATGTGTACGCACACCCCAATATACACACATACATGCACACCCCAATATACACACACTCCAGTACATACACACACATAATATATATAAACACACACTTATATAAGGGCACATAATATATATATAAACATAATATATATAAACACACACTTATATAAAGGCAAATGAGCCCTCAGTGCCAAAAGGCACCCACACTGCTTGGGGTGAGGGGTGCCCTGTCTGCCCTGGAATGTTTTATCACCCCGCTCCAGGCCTCTCCTGCAGTTTTCCAGCTGATTTGGGCAGTGGGAAGGAGCAGGGAGAGGGGAGGTCCCTGTGTGAGCTGGCACAGCCATGACCTGTCCTACAGGGTTGCAGGAGTGCCTGTCTGAGCATGGAGGAGAAAGGCTGAATTAGGATATTTAGGTCAGAAACTCTTTTCAGCCTAATTTTACTATGCAAATTTAGGGCAAATCAGCTTAAGTAAGAAGTCAAGTTTTTCCAGATCAGGTAATAGATTCCTGTAGCCTGAACCCTTCTGCTGTCCCGGCACAGAGCAATAACCAGCACCCACAGCAACACCTTCCCTGTGGCAACGCAGCCAGAAATTCAGGACAACGCCGTCACCTCGCACGCACGCTGCCTACCTCGGCAGCAAACCCGGGAGCAAAGGAGCTGCCACCTGAAGCTCAACCGTGCCCAACATCACACCATTCTCCCCGACCTATCCAGAGGTTTTCCAAGAGGGCATAAAACTCCAACAGCTGTAATTAGGTGATTGCCAAGAAGAGTAAATCCCTCCAGGTCACAGCTATGCCCAAAAGCCTGAGATGGGTAGCTTTGGAGGAGCACAGCCCACACATCATCAGCTTTCCCTGGTCTCTTCCCAACCGACTGCCACCGTCCCTGTTGAATCACCGTCCCACGACTGCTCCCCCTTGACTAAGTGCAAGAGTGGAGTTTCTTCTGACATTTCCCAGGGGCCACAGCAAAGAAGCACACTGGACACACGGCTGGTCTCACACCAAGGCTGATGCGGGGCTCAATGTGGGCTGTCCCCCTTCTCATCCTTGTTAGAGGAAGGAGACAGGGAGAAAGCCCCCAAAATCAAATATAACCAAAGTGGTTTCATTTGGCTCTGCCTCTGCTTCACACTCCCCTGCAAGAGCTTTGCTTCCCATACAGAACCTCAGGCAGATAAAACAGTAGTGCACAGTTTGGGTTGAAAGTTGTGTCTACCATCTCTTTATTCACAGCTTCGAGAAACACAAAAAAAGCTAAATGTTTGGCTTGTAAGGACCAGCCACATCAGCACAGGTCTCCAGCAGACAGGAAAACCATCCTCCTCCTCCTTGCCCCAACCAGCCAGGCTGCAATTCCTGGGGCCAAACCTCCCCTTCCAAGTTTGGAAAGCCCAGAAATGCAAATAAATACACAACTTTAAAATACATTTATTTTTACTGAACACTGTTCAATGGTATAGCTCATGCTGCTTTGGCACATTCCCCTCCTCGGGCAGGACTTGCTGGGAGCGTAGCCTTTCTCACAGCCACATGCTCGGGGCTACAGCAGCTGGGTGGCCACGATGGAGGTGGGACTTGCCCCATAAATCACAGCCCTGGGAACACCAAGAGCTCGATTTCACAGGAAGCACAGCTCTGACAGATGTGCAAAACAAAAGTCTGTGCTGAGACCTGGCACTGGCTTGGGGAAACTAGAATGTGCATTCACATACCCTTTTTAGCTGCCCCTTCCCTACACCAGCTATTTGCCCAGGAATACAGGGCTGTACAGTGTTATGTCTACCCTGGAGAAATTAGCACCCAAGTTCTGGCTAAATCAGACTCCTTAGAAGGCTTCAGGACCTGTACTGCTGCATTATTAGTTTGACAGATATGCCCTGATGAGTCCCAGCCCCCAAGATCTACAGCAGCAGCCTTGGAAGTACAAGCTCTAGCTCAGTTCACGTGCCAAGGAGGTTTCTTATTAAGCAGAGGATGAGGGTGTCTAAGACATGTGGGATCAAAAGGAGAGGCCATTCTCCATCCCAGCCTCCTGTCTCCTCCCCAGCACTGCTTGAGCCCCCCAGGAGGTTGCCCAGAGCAAGCAAGATCAGCTGGAAAGCTCTGGAGCAAGGAGATTATTTTAACCTTCACCACATGCAATTGAGTAGGTCCTTGAGCAACAGATGGGACCAGCTGGTATCAGTCAGGACTCATCCACCCCAGCTGATCCAGATCATAACCATCAATTAACAGTAATTCTTTATGCAGCACAGTAGTGCCTGAGCAGCTCCCTATAGGGTCTGGGGTTACTCTGGGGAGAAGGTCAGATCAAGCATCCAATTATGTCCCTGCTCATCAACAGCCTCTCCCACCCTAGTGCTGCTAGGGTCTAAGCCTCAAAATTTTAATTAACAGCAGTCACCATTAATCGCCTTCCAGCTCTCAACCACCACAGCAGGATGAAACATCTTGTTTTTATTTCTCTGAACCACCACCACTGGGGGCTGCCCCAGGACGATCAGAGCTCTGGGACCAGAGGGCGGCGAGTTACAGGGGGAACAAACCCACCATGGAGTCACGGGCTTGTGAGGGACCTGACAGCTGGTCCCAAGCCAACACCTTAGGAGAGGGCTGGCTCTGCTGGTTGAGGACAAGCCTGCAGCAGAGGAGAAGACCTGGCTGTCATGCTGCCCACACAGCCCAGCCAGCGTGGGCTGCATCTGCCACAGCAAGGGGATCTCCAGGGAACCCCACAGTCATTTTCTCCCCAGCACAGAACAAGAGCTTCTTCGTGTTGTTCCTTCCCAGGGCTGCAGGGCTCTAAGGCAGTCTGTAAAATGTTCAGTGTGCTTGCCTGCTTTTTTTGCAGCTTTCTTGGACCTTGACATTTGCTTTTCCACCTGCATCAGAGACCCTGTGCAGGTGTTGCTGGGCTCAGCTCCTGCACATCACTGTTTCCGAGATCCAGCTCCACCTGTATCCCTGTTGGCTGCAAGGAGAAACAGAGAGGAGCTGAACCTCACAGGGCTGGGACTCTAAAGGCAAACCCCACTGCACCTGCCCTAGAACCAAAAATTCCCAATTACATCCCTTTAAGGATTTCTTTCTGCTGGTGCCCTCATTTTAACTGGGTCTGCTAAACACAGAGATACAAATAGAGTGCAATTTAGTAAAGAAAGAACATCTTGCTCCAAGATATCCCCAGATACACTATTATTTAGCACATCAAGCACGCCACCACACCCAAACCCATTTGGATCAGGCTGCAGAGCAGGCTCAGGGCCAGGAGGCTCAAGCAGCGTGGCTCCATCCGTAGGCAGGATTCAAGCCAAAGTCACCTCTCTGCAGGTGTTGGAGCCAGGTCCGCAGGATCCTCACTACCCACACGCAATCAGGAGCGTGAGGCAGGCACAAGGAACCCAGTGACCTGGATTGAAGCGGTGCCGCTCATTTGACATGCCTATAAATACAAGCTCAGGCTGCTGCGAACAGATGCTCTTCCCCTTCCACAGCGTACAACCAGGAGGCGTTTGCTCCTCTCCCGTTGCCACGGGTCACCCAGCGAGGCCTGATCCTGCCCTACCCCAGCAGGAGCCTCCCCCTGCCCCGAAGCCAGGCCCACATCACGCAGCAGCTTCTCCATTCCCAGAGGGACGGGTCCAGGGAGCCTCACCTGCCGGGGTGACTTTGCCAAGGAAGCGACGCGCTGCGCGGTGGCTTTCTCCCAGGTGGCTTCTTTGCTCTCCAGCAGCACCCGGGTGCTGGGCACAAAACTCCAGGAGCGGCCGAGGGCTGGCTTCAGTGAGCTGGTGCTGCTGTCCCTTGTCACCTGGTTAGTCACCTGCAGCAAACAGGCTTATCAGTGCCCGGGAAAAGCAGTGCCACTCGGTGTAATGAAACACCAGAGATAACCAGGAAACAAATGCCCAGACGGCTACTTCTGTGAAGTTTTTTTCTTCTCCGTCCAGAGCCTTCCTTCTTGTCACGACCGTGCCATCCCCTTCGAAACATAGCCCACCCAACTGTCCCAGGCACGTACTCGGGTAGGAGCTCACTTGTATCTGCAAGCTGCAGTGACTCCTGGTGCTGAAACCACCTGCAGAGTTTAACTTGGAGCCTTTCCAAGCATCCTTCCAGGCACCCCATCCTTATCACTTTATTGCCAATCAGAGTGAAGGGCAGGACTGTCTTGACACCTTCCAGGGCCAGGTTCAGCAGATCACCATTTTCTTTTCCAGCCTTCCCAACTCAGACACATTAACTGTGGTCCCAGCAACCTGTCTGGGTGAACTGAAGCAAATGCAATTGCTTGTCCAAGACTGCAGCAGGGCTGGTTCCAGTCCTCAGCTCCTTCTGGATGATGCAAGGCCCTGCAGTTCCTCCATAGTAACTAAGCAAGAGGTTACTTAATAGCTGGCCAGCCCTTAAATGAATGGTGTTATATAAAAAATAAATACAAACAACCTTTCAATCTGTCTGTACTTAACTCTACCTTGCTCAATCAAGTGAATGCCACATTGGCTGAGGACAGCAATAAAAGCAGGCAGTAAATCAGCCCTGCTCTTGCTCCATACTTGCTGGAACAAGACATTTGTGGGCTGCAGAGAAGCAGAGCTACATCAGGGAGCTGAGCACTGTGAGATACAGGGCTCTGGCTCCTGCTTAGCTGGGAGCAGTACCCCCCTCCCAGGGGGGCTCCAAAGCCTCTCCAGGGCTCCTCGCCATGGCACACGCCAGCACGCAGAGGACAAGATGCAGCAACACTCACCACAACAGCAAGGCTGAACTCCCTGGCCAGTGTCTTCAGCTCCCTGGCTAGCTGCATCATGATGGCCAAACCTGGAGGAGCACAAAGCATTTGAGTGTTTGGGGATCAACCCCCAAAGCGCATCTTGGAGACAAGTGACATCTACATTTGTATGAGCACTATATTTAGTGCTGGTGTTCATGGACATCTTCAACCCATTTCCATTAACAGCACCCCAACGTACCCATTGCACCTGCACACTCCAGGGCACCTTGACCGAATAATGTGGCATGGACAGACCAATCCTCAAGTTGTCCCACCCTTCCTTTCCCATCTTAGAAGCCCTGATGTCAAAAAACCCTACAAAAGCAACGGGAGCTCAAGACAAAGCTGGTCAGGTTGATTTAGCAGGTACAGGACCCATCTCTCCAGCTCAGAGTTTCATTTCCTACAGCCCATGGCTGCAAGGGGACCTCCTGTGATAGCATTAGCTGCCACCCAGGTGTGCAAGACCCTCTGGAAGGTGTTTGAGGGGCCCCCTTGGCATCTCAGCCAGTAGAAAGCCCCTCACTCCTGATTTATGGTCCTTTCTGGCAGAAAGGGCCTCGGGAGCTTTGCAAACTGTGCCAGCAACCACAACGTATCTGTGACATGGTAAGCAGAGGTTTTATCCGTGGGCAAACAGTTCAGTGCCTCCTCTGTCCCTCAGCTGGGTTTCAGACCACCAGCGTGAGCCCGCAAAGCCACAGCCAGCTTGAATGTTTGCCATTAGCACTGCACACAAACCCCCTTTTATCCAGCCGCAAAGGAAAAGCTGGGAACAGTTGCACCCACATCCATCCTGCCCCAGCTCCGGGCACAGCACACACGGGAAGATGTTCTTCAGGGCAAGCAGAGAGATCTGCAACCTCACTGCACATCCTAACGAAGCAGCTCACCCTCGGACTGCTTGCCGCCCAGCAGTGGGTAAATCACAGCCGAGACAGAGTCGATCACCACAATCTTGAAAGGTCCCACGTTGCTCACCACCTGAAAGAAGGCGATGCTGTGTGCAATGTGGAGTAACAAATCCAGCAGTTTTGGAGGTCTGGAGCTGCACAGAGGTTCAAATGTCCCCAGGACAGGGTTACCTGGTGTCACTCGTCAGGCACACAAGCCCTGCTGCTCTCCTTGCAGCTCTGGGGAAGGGAGAGCAGCCCAGACCCTCGCTCCTACCTGCTGGGAGAGGCGATCCCGCAGCTCCTGCAAGGCGCTCAGCATTTCATAGATGTTGAACACACGGACCACCTGGATGCGCTGCAGAGCCTCCAGCTGTGGCACAAAGTGGCATCACCAACAGCCTCACCCCCTCCAGGACTCGTTATATTCCTCCTGCCCCAGCTGCTACCAGCTCTTTGCATGTATACCATGCCATGGAGCCAGGGACTCTTCTTCCATGTTTGCCTCCACCCCATAAACACTATTGTCCCCATTGCACTGATGGAAGAAGCAAAGTGGATTGAGCTCAGGGTGCAAAAGCATGAGCAACTACAGCAAACCCGCCCCCCTTCCCCAAGGGAAAAAGAAAAAAAAAAAAAAAATGTGCAGCATCTGTCCCTGAGCACAGCATCCACCAGGCCATGGGAGGAAGAATATGGACCCAAAAAAGCCCATGATGACATAGGCAGAGCTGGACAGACAAGCCATCTCTGGGGGTTGTCTGCTGGCAAGAGCCAAAGCAGTTTTAGCACGAGTGGAGGGATCAGGTCTAGGGGAACTTGCCTGCTCTTCCTTGTCCCCCGCCTGGGCTTGAAGCATCTGGTAGAGACGAGAGGCAGTGAACCCCGCTGTGGAGTCGAGAAAGAGGACGTGCTGCTTGAGGGCAAGAGACACACTGGCTGCAACGCCCAGGCACACCTGGAGAGGCAGGGACTGGGTGTCAGCCAGAGCTCCCAGGTCCCTCTGCTTCCAAAGACATCGTCTGCTCCCTACCTATTCTCTCCCCGCTCCTCCATCCCACTCACCTGTGTCTTCCCACTGCCCGGTGCTCCCATGAGCTCTGTCACTTCCCCTGTGTAGAGCCCCGAGTCCAGCAGCTGGTCCAGGCTACGGGTTGAACACGAGGGGGGATTATCAACACTGCTTCAGCCAGAATGGCAGGGGCATTAGGAAGCAGCAGTCCCCAGTTATTTGTCCCTAAAGTCCCCCTTCCCAAATGCAGAGAAGTGCCTCGGGCTCTGCTGCTTCCCTCTCCACATTGTGGACAACAGCAGATCTGCAGTGGGGGGGCTACAAGAGGACAGTCCTGAGCTGGAGAACCACTCTGGTCCTGAGAGCAAGGTTTGAATACCCAGGGTTTCTCTGTATAGCCCCTGTAACAACCCAGGGAGGAGTAAGGGAAAAAGAAGAAATAAAGACATGCAATAGAGAAACTCATTTCCATGACTGATCTAGACAGTTTGGACCATCATCACTCAACAGTCTTTCCAGATCCAGAATCCCACTCTCCAGAGCCCTCAAGGGAAAGGCTGAAGGCACTGTGCTGTCTAGAAGTGAGACACATAACCACCCAAAAGGTGTGGAGGCTCTCGCAAGGACAACAGCAATGTCGTTCCCTCAAAGGACACAGACCAGCTGGCTCTGCAGCCACAGGACATGAAGAACAATCACCTGTTGCTCACAAAAGGCACAGCCAGGACACAGCTGGAAGTTTTTAAAACAGCTCCTGGGGATGGTTTAGACATCACTGAGCCTGCTCAGGGCATCACCACAGTGAAATTCAAAGCCTGCACTGGGCAACCATGGCCTTTTGCAGCAAGCCCAGCCCCAGGCAAGACCTGCTGGCTTGCCAGGCAACGTACCCACCTTGGGTTCCCAGTGGGCAGGATGGCTGTGGAGCTCTTGAGTTCCTCATAGAGGTCTGCTCCATTGGTGGGGAAGGCAGAGAACTGGGCCAGGAGAACACGTCTTACTGCAACCAGTGCCTGGTGGGCAGAGAGATTTCTGGAAATGGGACCAAGGAAGTCCAAGGCCAACAACATCTGCAGAAGGTCCCCCAGACAAGTCCATCCAAGCCATGAGCTGAACAACTCTGAGCTCCCCAGTTACATAACAGGAATTAGGAGTCACCCTTTACCTTGTAAGACAAGGAACACTTCTGGGCAACATCCTCCAGGTCTGATGACACAAAGTCCACCACTGCAAATAACATGAGGGACAAGAAGTTAGATGCCAAACCTAGACAGATCATGAACACCAAAGAGACTACCAGCTCAGACAAAACCTGCCTGCACCAACAGCAAAATGTCTGTGCCCTCTGCCAACAGTTCAAGTGGACGAGCAAGACGCCCCACAAAATGAAGTATTGGCGTTTTTTCTCCAAGATGGCCCCACTGCCCATTGCAAAACAAATGGTTTCTTGCAAAACAGATCAGGGAGAGAAGCTGGTTAAAATCCTCCCTGTTCTCAAGAGCTGCCCCATGCCATTTGATAGCTGGGGCCGGCCAGAAGAGCCCCCTCCTGCCAGCGTACCACAGTCTCAGGGGGCTAGTGACTGACCCGAAGTGCCAGCCCCGAGCACGCCAGGAAGGGCTAAAGCCACAGAAATTAGAACTAGTGGTCCCATCTCTGCTCCCAGGAACCACCCCAAGATTATTTTTTTTTTTCAGATTGATGTGTATGTTACTGGTTGAAAAAAAAAAAAATAGAAAAAATATTTTCTTATAGGGAAAACAAGAATTACAACATTTGTGGCTCCAGCACTCACAGGGTCTCACAGACTCCGTTTAACAAGAATAAAATGGTGTTTCTCCCAGCTCTAATCCAGTTTCTCAGAGCAAGTAAAGAATCCACCTGGTCTCTTCTTTCCTCCCCAAGAGCAGGTGCCCAGGGTGCAGTGTGCCAGGAGCTTGGGCATTTTTCAGAGGGAAAAAAAAAACCCACACGAATCCCTCAAAGACCCTCTGCAGACACCCCTACCGTGTCCTAACATTCTCCTGCTCCTATAAAGAAGTCTTGATTCATTATATCCACCCAGAGGGACCCAGAAGACATCCAGCAAGGAGGGATATTGCACCACCACCACCATTTCAGGCTGGGGGACGATGTGGGCGCAGGGGCTGGAGCTGCAGCCCCCCCCCAAGGCTCCTGCAGTCCACGCCCAGCGTGCCCACGGCAGACACCCTGCGCCCACCCTCCTTTTCTCTACGGGGCTCTAAAACACCCCACTGCAGCTTTCGGGGCCGCAGACGAAAGCCCCCCAAAGGCAGGAGACGCTCGCCAGGGGCTGCCCCCAGGCTGGCAGCCGGCTCCTGCACGGGAGGAGACCCCCGGGGTGCCCACCCCAAACGTGCAGAGGACGGTGCTCCCCCCCCAAAGCCGAGCCCCCGGTGCCGCCCCGTTACCCGTCCTGACGCCGTTCGCCCCGAGGAGCTGGACGGTCGCTCGGCTGAGGCCGGGGCAGAGCCCAGCCCGCAGCAGCACCATGGCCCCGGGCCCCCCCCCGGCCGGAGCACGGCGGGGCCGGGAGGGGAGAGGAGACCCGCGGAGGAGACGGGGGAGCGGAACCGGCACCGCCCTGGGCCGTGCCTGCGATGGGTGGTGACGGCGGGTGTTTAATCTCCCGCTAAGGCCAAACGGCCCCAAACCCCGCGGCCGGCCGTGAGCAGGCTGGGACGGGGCCGCAGCCCACGCTCGCCCCCGTGCCAACGGCGGAAAGCCCCACGAGGAGTTGGTCCCTTCCCCTGTCCTCGCCGCCCTGCGTTCCCGCTGCACCCCAAACGCACCCCACGCACCCCACACCCGACAGCCCCCCGGCCCGGCCCGGCCCCTTCCTGCCGGCAGCGGAAGAACCAGGCAGGGCTCGGATTTGCACACACCCCCCCCCCCGCCAAACCCGGGTCACCGCCAGCCCCCCCCCTCCCCCGCCAAACCCGGGTCACCGCCAGCCCCCCCCTCCCCCGCCAAACCCGGGTCACCGCCAGCCCCCCCCCCCCCCCCGCCAAACCCGGGTCACCGCCAGCCCCCCCCCCCCCCCCCCGCCAAACCCGGGTCACCGCCAGCCGCCCCCCCCCCCCCCCCCCAGCTGTCTGTAAATGACCCCTGGCACATGTGCCGGCAGTGCTGGGGCTCCCAGGCTCCATAAAATAACAGAACGAGAGCCTGGGCTGGCTCTGAGGGGGGGATGCTGCTGTTGGGGAGAACCAAGCAAGCTTAAAAACTGAGTGAGCTTGAAGAAGTAGGAGATAAAAGTGTGGCTATTCCGGTCTTTATCCTTAGAGAGCTCCGTGTGTTGCTGAGCAGGGCTTGTTTGAAGAGCTTGTGTTCAGAGCTGGGTGCTCTGCTGCTTGGGGGGGGCTGGGCAGAGCCGTGGGCCCCTGCAGAGCTGGTGAGGTCTGAGTGCTTGCTGATGTGAGTAGGAAAAAAAAACTTTAATTATGAAGTTATTTTAGAGATGAGCCATTAGCTCTATGCAAACACTTTAACTGTCCTAAACTTACGTTAAGGGCTTGGGTGAAGCTCTAGAAAGGGTTGCATGCTTTGCCCCAAGTAGAAGACGTCTAATGCCGTGTTGGAAAAAAGCTCGAGCACTGAGCACAGCTCCCTCTGCAACCTTGCTTTTGCTCTGGCACTGCTGGAGCTCATCCTGGGACTTTCTGGAGGGTCATTTCACCACGGACCTTGCCAACTCTCTGCAAGATCCTGGTTTAGACAGTGGCTTAGAGCCACGGTGTAAGGTGGGATCTCAGGACTGGGTTTGGCAAGACTCATCAGCCAGTGTTTGCTGTTGGGGTTGGAGGGTGGATAATTAAGGTGCATTGGGGGGGGATGATGTCTCTTCCCTGCCCTGCAGGTGGGGAGAGCTCTGGCCCCCTCCCTGCTCCTGGGACTTGAATTTCCCCAGGAAAAGGTTGGTTTTTTGCATTTTTTTCTTCTTTCTCAGCCGAGGCCTGCAGAGGGCCCCCCCGCACCTGCTGCTGAGGCTGCTGGCCCCTCAGGGGCTCTCACGGTGTATCAGCACATCTGCTCCAGCTGTGGGGAGGTGCAGGGCTGGGGTAACTCCCAGAGCACCCCATCCCAGCCAGCCGCTCTTCTTCCCGGCTGGGGGGGAGTAATTGCTGATCCTCTGCCCCCAAAATACTGGCTTAAGGCAGCTCAGGCCACTCTTAGCTCTGTCTTGAACATTAGCAGCATCAAACACAATTTTATTTTGTAACTTAGGTTACTTGAAGTACCTCCAGTGCTGCTGCTTGTGAAAATGAAGCCTTTATTCTGCACAGCGTGAGAAGAGCTGCGCTGTATGCACCACGAGTACACAAGTGAAGCGAGCTGACCTTTCCTTTATACCCAAAGCAACATGGGAAGAGGTTTCTGGTGTGTTAATCTATGTGAGTCCTAGAAAAGCCGTGGTACCCAGCCTAAGGCAGAGGTGGCCTCTTACACCTCCCACAGATGTGATCCTTGTGCCTCGGACCTACCCTCAAACAGGTGAAGGTGTTTGAGCTGCTTGCAACTGCTCTGCAGGTGATGTGCTGCAAAGGGACCTCCAAACTACTTTGCAGTTGCCTCCCGCCCGGATACCAGGGACTGAACAGTCTGTTGGTGCAGGGTGAATAAAATGGGAGACCTGAACAGGGCAATCTTGTGCTGATTCTTGCTGTGTAAAATTTACAAGCCCCAACACGCATCACCAGTGTTAACTTTTTTTTTTTTTTTTTTTTTTTTTTCCAGCAGAGCTTCAAGGCAGAAGTGCATCGTCTGCTATAGCTCAGTTCTGCAGCGTAAATCTGATTGGAGCAACTGAGCAGATCCGGGTCAGCCCACACTCCCCTCGGTCATTTCCCCATCCCTACTGCCAGTTCCCCCACTGGCTTTTTAGCTGGGACGCTTGTAGGTACACTCAGGAAGGCAAGGCCTGTGTTTTGGGGGAGATAATTTGCAAAGCAGAATTCCTGATTGACTGTGACCCCTGGGAAACAGCGGGGTTTGAAAGGCTCAGCTCTGTTGGAGCTCAGTGCTGCTCTGTCTGCTGGTGTCACACAAATGGAGACAGGAGACACTCGTGGCTGCAGTGGGCCGGTATGTTCTGGTACACACAGCTGTGTTTGTGCTGGTGGGCTGCCAAATGAGCGGAGGTGGCAGTGCCAGGCACGGATGGGGTTTCTAGCAGGGTGGGCTCCCCCAAGGCCTTGGGAGGAGGCGGCAGCGCTGGGTGCAAGGCAGCTCGCCGTCCCCAGGCGTTCTGGAAGGTGCTGGGCGCTGTGCAGCTGCTGGCTTGGGGCCGCTTGTCCCTGAGGCTCAGCTGTCTCATGCTTCCCTAAATAGAAAGGGAAAAGGGTCTGAGCGCTGCGACAGGGGTCAGCCATCGCAGCCGGGGGCTTTTTTTGGCGTGAACCCCACCCCGTTCCCACTCCACACAACTCTGTGGGTAGAGGGAAGCTGGGATTTGCCCCGGCGGGAGGGAGAGGGTCCCCTCTCGCTGCAGAGGTGCTGCCTGCTTGCGCGCAGGTCCCCCCCTGAGCCGGGCTGGCTGCTGGGGGCCCTGGCTCACAGCCCTCCCCAGGCACTATATAGCACGGGGGGACGAGGAGGGGGACAGGCCGTGGTGACAGGTGACGCTGACAGGCAGCAGGAGCCAGGTCCTGCCCAAACTTGGAGCGGGAGGCGAGCTCTTCCCTGAGCCACACGGACTCTCCGTAACACTCGCTGATTTATTTAATTCTCACATTTTGTTGGGTTTCTTTCTTTTATTAATTGGCTCATAAGGATCTACAGCTGTGGGAAAAGCTTCTGAGAAGCCACAGCCTTGAGGAGCAATTTAGGTCTTCATTTTCAAAACTCTTCAGACGGGTAAGCTGCTTTTATTGATGTATGTGTTAATTATATGTCGGTCTCATTGTGAAACTTAGCTTGGTGGAGTAGGCAGGTGATCCTTGTGACACAGGCAGTTGAAAATGGGACACAAATTGATGTTTTTCCTTACAGCTCTCCCAATGGAGGATCCCATCCAGCTGAAAGAGGAGGGCAATAAATATTTTCAAGCCAATGACTATGAGAAAGCTGCTCAAAGCTACACTCAAGCCATAAAGCTCAACAAGGACAAGGCGCTGCAGGCAGTGCTGTACAGGAACAGGGCAGCATGTTTCCTTAAAAAGGTGAGAAAAGCTCCCGGCTTGCCTGGGCAGTGCTCAGGGGGAGAAGGAAGAGCAGAGAGGCAGCCAAGGGCGCTCACCAGCTGTGGACTGTGTGGTTTGTCCATTTATTGAATGGAGTATTTGCAAACTGGTCTGAAGTTACTTGTTCTGGGCTTGTCCTGGAGCTGTGTAGCTGTCTTCCTGCTTCAATCCTGATGGGGCTGAGCGTGCCCATTCGGCTCGGAGATGGTCCCACTTAATCACTTTGAAGCAAAAGCTTTCGGCAGCCAGCCTGCTCCACTCCTAGGGGAGAGCTCTGTAAGTCTTGGGTTGGGGTATCGCTCTTGCCATCTGTCCCAGCACAAGAGAAGCAGGCGAAGATATTGAGCAAAACAAAGTTATTGGTATCTGTACCAAAATTGTCTGAGCTCCCTGATGTCAGCTTGTAGTAACCTGCTGTGGGATTTTAGCAGCTTGCTTGCATGTTCCTGAATTTTCACTAATCCCCAAGTGATACCAACCCAAACCAAGGTGCAGATGGGCTATTGTGAGTGTCTGCCCATGGTCTGCCGCTGCATCGGCAGCAGCATGTGTTGTCTCACCTGCATCACAGACCTTTTTCCTACTGCCTTCCATCAGTGATAAAAAGGTACCTAAACATCCACCTTTCCTTCCATTAGGCCACTGCTGGCTTCACTGGGGTGCCCTGTTAGTAAGTGGGAACAGAGAGGTCACAGTAGGGACATGCCCTGCTATTCCACTGCTGACAGATCTCTCCTCTCTGGTTTAACAGGAGGAATATGCCAAGGCAGCCTCAGATGCATCCAGAGGTAAGGAGTGGGCTGTTCTGAGAAAGGAGAGCTGCATTGCTGGGTCTGCTTGCTCCAGCCTGCTCTCGCATCTGCTTTTGAGGCACTGTGGTCTTATTCCTTGATGTCCACAAACACCCGAGTACTGAGGCCTCAAGGGCATTAGTGGAGGAGGTTCAAAAGAAGATGTACCAATTCGGTGTGTTGGTGCAATCAGTGCTAATCAGATACTGATGCACTCATGATTTTAATAACTACTACACCTCAAGGAGCTGCAGTCACTGTAAAGCAAATCAGTTTACATAGGTGATTTCCAAGAAACAAGCTCTGATGCCTGGTGTTTTGGATCACTTTCCCAGCTATTGACATCAATGCTTCAGATATAAAAGCCTTGTACCGGCGCAGCCAAGCTCTGGAAAAATTGGGGAAATTGGACCAAGCATTCAAAGATGCTCAGAAATGTGCCACCATCGAACCCCGCAACAAAAACTTCCAGGAGGCCCTGAGGCGACTGGGAGCCAACATCCAGGAGAAGGTAAATGCAAGGGGAGCCGTCCCAGGTTCGCAGACCAGGTGTGGGAAGTCTTTGATCTGGGTTACACTGGCGGATTGTTGATCGTACGGGAAGCTCGTAACAATGTGGGGGGATAAATAGGCTCCATTAACTGGAAGTTCATACTTGATGCATGTAAATCCGAAGATCAGATTGAATGGTTAAATTAAAAAATGTGGCAGCTCGCTCCTGTGGCTGGCCTGGTCCTGAATGTCTTGGTAAAGTCCTGGCAAGGAACTGGATCAGCTTTGGACTGGGTCTGGCAGTTCCACATTGACTTAGTTACCTTTATGAGGATGCTG